AATTTGCATTTACCTAAAAGTGTGTAAGTATGACAAGGTCCCTAAATATACATATGTACATATGTACTATATATGTAGGTCTATGTATGAGTACCTCAATAACAACAACAACAATCGAATACAAAGTAATTGTAAAAAACGAATCAATACGAAATTATTGTATAGTCCAACGAACAATAATTGTCCAGCTGGCCAAAGGCGGCCACGCTATTTGCACAGTGGACGGAAATGACCTATCGAAAATCGTATTGAATATATTTGTCCTATAATATATTGAAATATCATTAAAATTTGGAATATATAGACAAATAGAGCAGAAAATCAGGTTAAAAACAATTAAAGTTATGCAAAATTGTACAAGATATGATTAACAAGATCTGGTAAAGTATCCTGTATAAGATCTACAATATCTAGAGAACAGTTTACAGATCACGCCTGTCAGGCCTTACAAATTGTAAATGAAATAAAATAAATTATAAATTAAATCAACTATAAAGTGGAATGTAAAAGTACCAAATAAAAATTTTAGATTTAAAATTTCTTGAAGTAGATCTGCAAGATTAGAAGATTAATAAACCTAATTTATGTTTTAAAAATAAATTTAATTGGAAATACTTTCGTTTGCTTACATAAAAATGTAACGAAAATGTATTATATTTATATTTGATTTTGGCCCATTTGTATAATATAAAAATAATGACGTTTTATTTATTTTTGTATTTATTTTGAAATTTGTACGTAACCGATGTATAAATAAAACGAAAAACATATATGTATGTATTTTCAAAATATATGACTTTGGCAAGCATTAAATATGTATAGTAAGAAAAAAAAAAAAAAACAAGCAAGTCTATTATATATTTCTAAATATATTCCATGACAATATTTACTTTTTACATTTATTAATTGCACTTAATTAAATTCCTGCTTTATTTTGACAAGTTTTACCTTCTGAGCGTAATTTGTGTTTACTTTCTGCATAATAGATATTAAACATATTTTATTAATAAAAACTGCGCGAAATAAATTTCACTTCTTTCAACATCAATAAAATATCAACTGAAATGTGCTGGCAGAAGGTTTGCAATAATGAAAACTGCATGAAAAACGAAAACAATGAAAAACAAAATAAATAATTTACAAATTGAGATTGAAAGCGAAAAACTTGATAAAAAGGGGGATGCAATATTATTTAAAACAGAGTCCGAAAAAATAACAAAACACGAGGAAACTAGTTTGAACAACATTTGTGTACACACACGAACACAAACACCCTTGTGTATGCGTGTGTGTGTGTGTGAGAAAAAATACAATTACAATAATGCAACAATGGCAAAGAAATAACCGCGAGAAATACTAAACACAATAAAAAAATCAAGACAATTGCCGTTGACAAATGAGAGCGAGAGCGAGAGCAGGTGAGCGCCACACACACACGGAGAGAGAGTATAAGGTGTTGAACAGAATAAAGTAGAATTAATAGAGAGGCGCCAGCCCACACCATCTTAGTTATAGTATGTAAACACACATGTATTAAGCAAGCATGCATATACATACATATATGTATGTGTCTATTGAATCAACATTAGATTGGTCATGGATTTAACTCATTTAAGTAGACTAACGCACACGCACACGCACACTTTGAAATACATATAAGACGTGGCGCATAAGAAACCACCGTTAAGCCGCAATTACTGAATAAGTTAGCGAATACTATTGCAGATGTGCATATTGTGTATGGGATGTGTGAATAACTGTTGTCGCTAACATCTATTAGCCACCTTTTCTGTTTTCGGGTTTTCAATGACTTCACTGGGCGTTGAAATAAATATGTCTAAAGACGGATATGCTTCCGGGCATTGTTCCACAACAAAATGCTATTCCAAATATGCACTTCCACAAAAGCGATGTTATAGTCACAAAAATTTATCGCAATGAGTTTTTATTAGCGACTCAGTCGATCCACGTAGTTCGCGCATGTGGGTTTCGAAAGCAACTGAACAAAAGCCGCCAGCGACTAGCTTATGCGTGCGTGAGAGAGAATATTCACATATGCATGTGTTGAAGAGCACTAAAACATAGCAGATGTTACCACCTGAACTCTAATTTCACCACTAACAAAAGTGGCGCAAAAATATCAGCCTAACGAACCCACCACATTAAATGTGGTGCATTTCAAATTTATTGTTTGCTGCTGTTATTCGACTGTAAAGCTAAAATCATACTCTAATTTGTTTATCAATATTTTTAAATATTGTGTTTGGCTCAGCCATTTTACAGAGTATATGTATTTGCAAAGGATATATTTATATAAAATAAAAATAAATATTATTTGCAAAAAATTGAACTCGCCCCCGGGTGGACTCGAACCACCAACCTTTCGGTTAACAGCCGAACGCGCTAACCGATTGCGCCACGGAGGCACTTGTTGAACTCACAGACACAATATTATTTAGTACATGTGCTAAGTAATACACAGGCTTATAAGCACTGCATTATTTTAAAGTATTTTACTTAAATATTTCATAAGTTCTGTAAATATAATATTTTATATAAATCGTTTTCGTAAAACATCTTTATTTTATTTATTTATTTAAAATAAAATAATTCCAAAAAGATTTTGTCAGAAGTGGGATTCGAACCCACGCCCTCAGAGAGGACCAGAACGCTCATACGAAACCTCTGTACAGAGGCAAGATTTCTAATCTTGAGTCTGGCGCCTTAGACCGCTCGGCCATCCTGACACTTGGTTGCGATATGTCTCAAACCAAACTTATACGGTGGAAGCAAATGTAACAGGACTGAAATTTCTGCACATTTAAAAGCTTGCTTTAGACACAAATAAATTATGCTTGCTATTTGTATCAAATGTATACTATTTATACAATATATGTACTGTGCTTTATATCTTATTTATTTTTTTTTATATTATTCATTTTTTAATTTAATATAAAAGAAATATATCATTATTATTAAATACAGTACACATTTGTTTTAACAATTTAGTATGAAACATTGATTTGTTTATATTATAATTATATGTATTAATTATGTACATACATGATTTTATTTTTTGTGCAGCTGCGACAAAAATGAGATAAGGCTCTTACTTATATGTGCTGAATTAGTTATATGGTAACATTGACGAGAAACACGCATCGGCCCATTAGCTCAGTTGGTTAGAGCGTCGTGCTAATAACGCGAAGGTCGCGGGTTCGATCCCCTCATGGGCCAACTGCTTTTTTTTTTTTAATTTTTCCACAACCTTTTCAAGGTATCTGAAGGAGTGTATGGAACAGTTTTTTATTGCTCGCAAATGTACTGAGAATAAAGAGAGACAGGAGGACGACACACACGCCACACAGGGTAAGCAATTTTCATTGATTTTTAAAGCAACGCTAATCCCCAGGAAACCGAGTCGTTAAGACTACGGAAAGATATTATATGCTGGACATGAAACAATTTAGAATGAAATGCTTTCATCGCAATAAGTGGAAAATGTCAACGTATCCTCAGGCACAATCACAACCTAGTTACACACATTAGGATATACCGCCCCAACCCCCATATGGATGATGTCATTGCGAAGTAAAGTAAGAGCAATCCAAGTAAATGCGCTTATGCTGAGACATTTGATGATCTCAGAGCTGGACTGGGCCAAGTGCCATTTAATTTCTTATCTATCAAAGATGGCGAAGCCTAAAAGCTAATGGTTTTAATTAACTTTTAACTCAAGGTGTGACTACGTATACAAATATGTACACATTTTTTCCTCTCATAGTAACCAGTTGAGTTTTGATTGTTAAATTAAAAGTCCTTGTTCATTTATATATTTTTAAGACACAACGAAAATGAATATAACCGCAGTGGAATCGGATAGGCATATCAGCCTGAAGTCCATACTGATGTTCAAGGATGCGACTAAGCACGAAATCAAAGGAAACGGATCAAAGAGAACTAAAAAACAAGTTTCTTTCAATCGATTTATCGACTATCATATTTATACAGAGAATTCAGATATGCAAGAAATGCAGTCCTCCTATCTTGATGAAGACTATAATGATGATGATTGGGTAGCTCTAAATTGGACCTTTTTTATCTCATCTATTTTCAATTTGAATCCATAATCAATTTACTTGCAGGGCCTGAGTGATGAGCAACTAAGTGAAATGTCCATGGACAGTAAAGCAAACTCGTAAAGTTCACAAAAATATTTTTTATCTATGTATTTGATATGCCTGGCTTACGTAATATACGGTAGTAACCAAACAGGCGATAAACCATGGCCGGAAGCTGAAAACGTTTTAATGGAAGCGACGTGACAGTCGACGGGTGTCTCAATAATAAACTATCATTCTCAGGCTCTAAAAGTTTTGTTTGCAATAACTTTATGGACTTACTTAGATATTGATTGGTATTTTAAAATGTAATGGATAGATAATGACTCAGGGAGCTCTTACTACTATATATGTAAATCGTAGACACAGCTTGATAGTGCTCCCTAACTTAAAATCAAATTATATGATATTCATCTTAGGATAAACCATATATGTAGTCTCACCTATGAATATTGTGCGATCCATAGTCCTGCAGCAAACTTTTCATGTGCTTACACAATAGATATATATTCAGACTATATATAGACTATATATATGTATATATACATATATATCAGTTATATATCTTCGTTTTGGATCTGTATTTAAAATAAGATATGGCTCTATATAAATAAAGAGTCTAATGTGATTTGATGTTGAGTGTGAGAGGAACCACTTGGAAATATTATGTAATTCTCTCCAGCTTCTTGTATTTTGTTAAGCTTTACAAAATTCGAAGTGTAATAGGATGAAAGCATGTCAATTTGGATTTTATGCCATATAGCAACAAAAGCTAAGAAATGAACAAATACAGAAGTAACATCTAATGAGACCATGTAATGCAATTAGAACCGATTTTCTCTACGAGTGTATATAAGGCGGATCGTGAACCAAGAGTGGAACACACGGATCAGAATGTTTGTGAAGATTTCAATAATAGTAGTGCTCACTTCTCTGCCCGCCTTGGCCCTTGTCCCTGTAGACCCTTGGGGACCAATACCACCAAAAATAGATCGACGCGTTGTGGGTGGCTCTCCGGCTATATTTGGGGCGTATCCTTGGCAAATTTCGCTGCAGCTCAATGGCCGTCACTTCTGTGGCGGCAGCCTAATTGAACCAGATCTGGTTTTAACCGCTGCCCACTGCTTGCTCGGGAATGAAAACAATGTAGACGAACTGGAAATCAGAGCTGGCACCCTTATGAAATCCTCTGGCGGAAGTACTGCCGCCGTCAAGAGCATTAAGATGCACCCCAAATACAATAACACTCTGAAAACGTATGATGTAGCTTTGCTCAGACTCAAGTCGAAGCTAGAGTTAAGCAACTCCATCAAAACGATTAAGCTGGCCAGTAGCACGCCTAAACATGGAGCCCCTGCCATTGTCTCCGGCTGGGGCGTTACCAGCTTCCAGGGAAATCGCCCTAACAATATGCTCTATATCAACACCTTCATTGTGGGTCGTGAGCAATGCGCCAGTCCCCAATATAGATATGGCGCCAAAATCAAGGAAACTATGATCTGTGCCGCCACTCCCAATAAGGACGCCTGCCAGGGCGACTCTGGAGGACCCCTTGTATCTGACGATGTGCTGGTTGGCGTTGTTTCGTGGGGCACAAATTGCGCCAAGCCCGAATATCCGGGCATCTACGCTGATGTGGCATTGCTACGCGATTGGATCATCGAAACGGCGAAAACAATATAGCGTAAACAAAGCTGATTCTAGATAAACTAATGAAATACATATTCAATACTTAAGTGGTCAACCCGTTCTGGGTTCGCTTACGTCCTCTTAGCTGGATCAAATTGTAAACAAGTGGTCTTTGAGTTTGGCTTTTAGGTTATAACTTTATTTCAGACTGAATGAGAGAGCGCTTTGAAAACGGTGTTGTATAATGCGCCACCGAATCGATTGTAAATTCTCATTCAAGTGAACAAATTATTTTGAGTCGAAAATAGTTCGATACTCGGATTATTTCCACCCACAATAAATTTACATAGTGTATCCTGATGAATATAAAAATGCGACATTATAGTTCATGAGCTGGAGGATATTCTCTTATTCAACAACTCTCTTAATCATATATTCACGTTCTTTCTTGGTAGTTCTTAGCAAAACTGTTCTATTTCAGTTGATTTTTCATTTCTTAAACTTAACTTACTTTCATATCAAGGCATGCATTTGAGTCACATTCAATTGATTCATTTCGCTTGATGTGAATATGTATGCTTTAGTCATAGCCCAAAAGATGCAGAAATAATTGTTTGATTGATTTTACGCGGATATGTTTGAAGGGAGATTTTTCTCCCAGATAAAAAACAAACTCTATCAATTCCGAGCTGTATAAAAAGCATTACAACTAATCCAAGCTCCATAGATAACGCTCACTCACCTTCGTATTCCTTGCGTTTACGGCGTAGGAATGAAGTGGTCATGCGTATTCCGCGTGCCGCATTGGACAGGATGGAGGCGCGGGAGTCCTTGCGATTACGGGACGATCTGTGTCGCGAGCCACCGGGCTCTGCCGGCGGCTGACAGGAGGAGAGTGTGCCAGCCAAGGAGCTGGACTGCGGCGTGATAGGCGTGTTGGGCGTGTCGGAGTCAATGAATCCTAAATTGCTATTGGCACTGTTCAGATGAATGCTCGTATGGCTGAGCACGGGCAGCTTGCCGCTCAACGAGGCAGCCAGCTGCTCATCGAGGCCGTTGCTCGTCTCCTGCGTCTGCAGATGCTCCAACGACTCGAAGTCTCTGTTGATAGCTGGCGGCATGGAATGTCGAAACCAGGACTCCTGGCGATGCAGTGAAGCGCGTTGCTGTCGCCGTCGCTGGCTGGGATTGCAGCTGGCTGTGGTATTGGTCCTGCTTAGCTCCACGGAAATGCTGGGCGAGTTCTTCGCTTGCAGCTCCAAGCTCTGGCGCTGATAACAGCCAGACATATTCGTTAGAGTCTAGGGCTTAGAAAGCCAAGGCACTTAGTAGGTATATATTTGTATGCGTGTGTGTGTATAGCGTATAGATCAAGGCACCTCTTAAAGCAGTTAGCTATGATATATATGTATATTTATTTAATTAGAGCATATTCACAGTTATATAAGGTCTTTAACCCAAGCCCAAGTCCAAGCCTTGAACTCAGAGCGCTAAGGACATGTCTCTGAGAACCTAAACAACTGACAGCCATCCACAACTTGGGCTGTCTAATATTTCTACTTGTTTCGTCTCTCTAACCATTACAAGTTGTACATCAAAAATTTATAGCACTTAAAACACACATAGTTATTTGGCTGTCACGCATATGCAGTTCTCGCTGACAGCAACCATACTATACAATTTATATATACAATATCTATACCATATATATCGTAGTATATATGCATCAACAATCAGATTTGTTGATTTTCCTAAAGGCACAAATTTGCATTAGCTATGCAGCTGCTAAGTTTTCATCACGTAAATGCACAGGTTTTCAATTATCGCACAATTAAGTACATTCATTAATTATAGTTAAGGCCAATTAGCGAGTTCAGAATATAAACGCGTATCTATATCTACATAACTTCAGATGCGCTGTTGTGATTTTCGCCCAAATAACTTTTTTTTTTGTTGTAGCCTTGCCGCCGTACCACAAAATGCGTGTCCATAACGTGCGAGAGCCGAAAGCCAACTGCCAAAGCAAAGTCAAGCCAAGTGAAACGAAGCTAAACTAAGCGCAACAAAAAGGACATTCAGTAAAATGTCCTTCGTTGTCTACGAACGAAAGCCGAAGTGAAAGTGGTTAACTACAGCAAAGCCGAAGCCGAAACTGAAGGTAAGCAAACTATGATTTAGAAAATCAAAACAAACTCAAGCTAAATATTTTATGATATAAAAAGAATTAAATAATGCATATTTATTGATTTCCATTGCATGTTAAGTCGATAAATGCTAACTAAACATTTTCGTTCATTTGAACAAACGCTAAGCATTCATAACATATACAACATTTAGACAGACAACGGCAACATGGCCCATTAGCTCAGCTGGTTAGAGCGTCGTGCTAATAACGCGAAGGTCGCGGGTTCGATCCCCCCATGGGCCAAATGCAATTTTTTAAATTTATTTTTTAAAAACATTTTTAGAAGCCAAACTAAACAGTAAACTACATACACACATGCCTATCTTTTACATAGCACATGACGCCCACTCAATCTTATCAATAATGTAGCAGTTGCTAGGAAATTGAAAACATTTCTTCTAAATAGAATCATTATTCCAATCTAACTTATGATTCACGTTAAAATTGACTTTGTATGCCTGTTTACTTACGTGATTACGAATACGTATTGCTAATGTTTACTTACGTATTTGCAAGAGGCCGGTAGATTCGGGGCGTGAACGACGACGATTTTGCCTTGGTGCAGTTGTTTGTGCGTCGGCATCTTCTTCTTGTAGGTGGTAACGGGACACCATGTGAGTATATGCGGGGCTTCAGATCTGCGCAGATATTTGAGCAACTGGTGTGAACGAGCACCAACAAAATATAGCACTCACAAACAGGCGCGAAGGAAAATATGAATAATAAACTGCACTGGGTCTTTAGCACTAATGCATGTTTAGCTATAGGTATTATCTACCACACAAACACACACATCTTGCTGTTGTTTAATATTTGTTGATAAGCGAAAACCAAGCAAATAAAAACAACCACACGCTTTCAACCGTGGGACGCGAAATCATACTGATTAATAAACAGCGTTAATAACAGAATGTTATTATACAGTGGACTGCCGTTATGCTCTGCAAAGCCATTGGACAGCTTACTAACTTGTAATCGAATTATTTACGCGAACTATTTGAACGATCGAATTTGTATATTTTTTCCAGTTCTAATTTCAAAACATAAAAATAAAACACTGTTTACCTTTTTAATAGATGACAGCGGTCAGCTGTTTATAATATTATTGATTCAGTTACTTAAGAGAAGCGCTACAAGTGAAAATCTGCTTAGACCAGGGCTGCATCATCATTTAAAGATCTGGCAACGCCAAATAGGTGATAACTATACGTTATAATTCAAAAGACAAATAACTGAATTATCTATCCATTATCCCAATGTACTGTGTGACGAAGAAATATATAGACAGACTTTTAAAACGAACTACAAATTTATTTTATTCTATAACATATTGGTATAAAACGCCTTAAGTCTTATAAACTATAAGCTTTTTGATTTCAGCTTCACTTTTTTTTACATATTAAACATAGAGATTAATCATAATTTAACTTCAATATCCATGCCGATTTTTAACTGAAAACGAGAATTCATAGCGAACAAATTAATATTTAAATCAAGCAAAATAGATTAATTTTATTTTGTTATAGAAAATAAACGATCTGATATGGCAAGAGATGGCATCAGTTATTCAAGAGTTATATTTGGGATCTATATGGGAATATGATACTGTTTTCAAAATCGATTAGTTGTGCACTTATATATAGTGTAAGTATTATATATAAATATGTATATGTATATGTATATGTAGGTATATATGTTCATTAGTCATTCAATATGAACGATTGTGTCTCTGGTTGTCTTGCATTTTGTTACATATAAAATTATATATCCATTTTATTGTTAATTATTATTATTATTATACAGTCTTTCGAAAATGCAAGTGCTATATAACTCGTTGCGTTGCGTGCCTTATTTACAGGACATTTACAAGAGAACATTAAAACAAGAAATTAGTAGAAAAATAAAATATGCGAAAATTGTGAGAAGTAAAAAATAATTGTGGACCCGCATGAAATTTGCAATCAAATCAATCGTTGTTATAAAACATTTTCCATATTAGAGCGCACATTGCGCAGGACGTTGTGCGTCTTAAGTATTTGATTTTTAATATCCTTTTCGACTTGTGCTTTTGCTTTGTTAACCACACGCAACTTTTCATAGGTGTCTTCGAATGCGCGCTTTGTGCGTATTAATTTGCGCCGTAATTCGGCATTTTCTTGCTCTACCTTTAGGCAATCGTGCACTGGCACGAGCAGCTCTCCGGCTGGCGCCTCCGTATCCGGTGAAAGATCTGTTGAAGAGGAATTTATCAGATTTGGTTTTCAATATTCATGTTCATTCATCGACTTACCATCCTTTACGTCAAGTATATCATCATTGACCAGCTCCACGGTCTTGAGCAAGGGATGCTGCGCATTCGATAGCTCTACACTGTGCACCCGACCCGTATCACTCTCGATGCCCAGATCTGGCGATGGATTGCTAAGGCGTCCCATTGGTCGTTGCCGCTGAGGCAGTTCCTCTGATGTATAGCCAGATTGTGAGACATCGCTGGGCTCCCTTTGTCTTTGCTTTTGTTTGTGCTTTTGCTCCTCCTGCAGCTGGACCAGCTGCAGCCTCATCTCCTCTAGACGTTGCTCCAGCTGCAGTTTGTCATTGTAAGCCTTGGTGCGCTCCATGATGGCCTTTGAGGCTTGTAGCGTGCTCTCGTCCAGCTCCTTTTTGAGTGCACGAGCTGATAGCTCGTTCTCAACGAGTGTCTGCTTCAGCTCCTTCTCATTCTCCTGGTAGAACTCCAGGGAACTTTGTAATTGGGTCAACTGACTCTTCAGCTCCTTATATTTGTCTAAGGCTACCCAATTTCGCTCCAGTTCCTGTTGTTGCAGACGCTGCTGTTCCTCCAAGCGCTGAGACATTTCCAGTTGGTATTCTGCAAGCTTTGTTTGATTTTCTTTTTGCACTGCCAAGATTTGTTCGTGCGCCTC